GTGCGTGTTTTCGGTCTTTTACCCTAGACTCTCAAGCCAACTTAAACAATACCAATCTACACCCCCTATCCAGATTTACCAAATGTATTTACCCCATAACTCAACACATTTCAAATATTCTCAACGAATCAATTTGAAAATCAATTTCTCAAATCCAATAAAAGAATTAAATCATGAGATTATGGAATGTTCAATGCCATGCATGAATTTACAAATATTTCAATTTACCTATTTCATATGCAATTTTTACAATAATCAATACAACCCTCCACAGTTGCCCAAATTTTATCTCTATACAAAATATATCAAGAGACAAATGTAACTCATAATCTCATATTTTCAATCATTTTAACATAGGAGTAACAATCACATGTTCAATCTCCTCTTTTCCAACTCAATCAAGAATCATAATATTCTTCTAGAAATTTCATCAATTTTTTCCTTTCTATTCAAACTCAAGAATTTACCAAAAATTTTTATGATGCCAAAAACAACATATATCTTTTTCGGCTTTTCTCAATACCTCAACATGATAAATATTTTCATTTTTTTCAAAAGTTTAATATTTTCAAATTAAACAATTTTTAAAAGAAACCTCAATGGTTTTCAATGTTCCCAACAACATTCTCATCAATCTCATTCCTTTAAACATTCAATTTCAAATTCTCATTTGTTCCAATAAATACATGTTTTTAACTCTTGCAAGCTTTTCACAAACCTATCCCAAAAATTTAAATCTTAACATTTTAAATTTCTAGGGTTTTATTAAAATTTGAGGATTTCTCATATATATATATATAAGCATTCCTTAACATCCTTAAGTCATACAAAAATCACACACAACTAACAAGAGATTTTCAAAAAAATAAAATAAAATTGAGAACTCCCCTATTTTTATACATTTAATATACCATAATAAAACCCTAATATTGTCAAATATCACACTATCAAAATAACACATAATAAAGCTAAAACACATACACAATGTTTAGAAAATCCCTACTTCAATAGCTAGAAGGAAGAAGCAAAAATCCCAAATTTTGATGTAGTCGAATTTCAATCTCTACCGATCAAAACGTTGCTCTTGTCAAGATCTTTACATTGGCCTCAAGAACTTGGATCTAAAGCCTAATAGATTTTGGTCGATCAAAAGGTTGTGTGATAAACCTAAAAGACATTTGAGAGAGCAAGAGAGAGAGAGAGAGAGGACAAAGCTCTCTGCTTCTCCAAAACAGAGAGAAAGGAAATCAAAGTAAAGGGAGAAAGAGAGGAGGGGAGCGGCCCATGTGCTGCCTCTCTTGATTAAATATATTTTATTTCAAAAATCTGTCTATACAGATACACCTATATATATATATATATATATCAATTAAAAGTATGTTTCAATATCACCATAATATTTAGTAGCATAAATAACAAAAGTGATATAATCTTTTCACACCATAAAATATATTTCGTTTGATGGTGCACACCATAAATATTTGTAACTCTCTGAAGATTATAAAACAAATAATAATAACACTAACAACAATAATACATGGTTACAAACGAGTCATGATTCAATCAATTGGGTCCAAAATGAATGGAGTTTAATAATTTAAGATAAATCTCCAATCGAGATTAGAGTATAAATAAATTTTGAAAAACTTAAAGTGGTCCCCACTATTCACATAATTAAATATGAACCAAAATGATTAAGTATGAGCTAATTAAATAAGTCCCATAAATTAAATTTATATCTCTTTTATTTCTCAAGACCCAAGAATTACTATAACTTAAACTAAAAATAAAATAAAATTGCCAAGTAGGCCTTACGAAGTCAAAATAAAAAACTAATATAATTTATTTTCACCAATTTAAATAGAATGGTTCACGACACCACAACTATAATAATAACAACTAAACAATCAAACGATTTGGAAATTCATACCAATCCAACTCCAATCAATACCCGAACCCACAAACATATTTTTTTTTAAAAAAAAAATTTACTACACGCATATTGAAAAGAATAATAAATAAATAAATTCAATTTGATTCAACTTGTTAAAATATTCATGCATCATGATACCTATCTGTCCAATTTTTCTCAAATAGGTAGGTGGTCTTATTTCATTCAGTTATTTAGCGATTTGGTGGGAGAACCAATAACCTAATAACAGACTGAAGCAATTATATTAAAAGAAAATGCATTTGACTTTGATGTTTACATTGAGAACATAAATAAATGAATTTTGATACAAAAATTGAAGAACAGTGTCGATAAACTAAATCCAGAAAATGCAAAATCGATTTGGAAAGCCATGGAAATGAGGAAATTATGGACATGAAAATGCTTCTAATCCAAACAAACAGTTGACAAGCAGAAACTCGTCTTAAAACATTAGTCTCACATAAGTTTTTCAAATCAAAATCATTCAAATCGAGCAAAACCACAACAAAAAACAAAAACAGACCTCAACACAGAGAAGAATGTGTCCAGTTATAAAATTAGTAGAAACTCTATCAAAACAAAATCAATAAAAAAAGAGAATTCTTTCCCTTTTTATGCCGGTGACAAAAAAAGAGATAGAAGCAAAGCAAACCAAACAAAACCTATTAAAAATATGGATATTCCATTTCAAACTTAGAAGGAACAAGAAAAACTTTTCAAAAAATGGGTATGACAGACAACTAGTTTTGCTTTCATATTGTGAAATGAAGTGAAATTGGGTCAATGGTCATCATTTTGAGAACCTAACAACCAAAAGTCTTTCTTCTTCTTCTTCTTTCTTGTTCAGTTTTCTCTGAAATTGGCACATGAAACCACCATTTTTTTTTTTTGTGGAAAAAATTACAAGCTAAAAAACAACAATGGAGTCAAACCATTCCTTACTTTCACCACCATTACACAAGAATTCACCGCCAAAGCACATTCATTGCCTCTCTCTCTCTCTCTCTCTCTCTCTGTGTGTATGTGTGTGTGTGTGTGCCAACATCATTCCTTACGACTGTGCACAGTGATTTTGGGCTAGGAATGCTTATGTGTCACCTTACCATTGGACTAAATCTGTTTGGGAAGTCGAAGTCCACTAGATCCTTTTCAAATTTTAAATTCGAAGAATATTTGTCCAAAAAAATTATTTAAAATGAAAAGGGATAATTTCACATCCTTGGATATTTGAAAATTTATTTTCAAATTATTGATAAATTTTATAAACATTAAAAAATAAAATCATAAATTTTATCATCTATTTGTAAATTTTTTTTTTTTGGCTATTTTTCAGAAGTAATTTTCCTAAATAACAATATGTGGTTGAGTATATAAGACATATTTGGTGTAGATAATCTGAAGTGAAAATCACCCATTTTTAAGCTCGAGAGCTGTGAATTCGTCTTGTGTCGCCATTTTTAAGCTCAAGATTGGGATTCAGAGAGAAATTTGAAGAAATCTAGAGAGAGAGAGAGAGAGAGAGAGAGAGCATACAGTCGTCGTCACTCGCTGAGTGAGTGAGAGGCGCGATTGAGACTGACTGCTCCTCACCGTCGTCACTCGCTGCTAGTTGTCGTCGTCGTTCACCGTCGTTGTCAGTCGTTGCTAGCCGCCGTCGTCGAATTTTGCCTCAAGGGTTTTGGGGATTTTGCTTCAAAAAGGTTTTGGGGATGTTGGTTCAGAAAGATTTTAGGGCTTTTGGGGAAAACTTGAGTGCGAATGGGTTGAGTGGGATATAAAATCTTTCATTACTTTTTAAGACAGCATATTTAAATCCTCACAAATGATAAATAAAACGACGCCATTTTAACAAGAGTTTGTTTGCGATGGACAATTGCCGTCACAACTTGTCCATTATTTGCGACAGTAAATGTTTCCCATCTCAAATTTTTTTTTTCGACGGTACACTAGGCGTCGCAAATGTTTATGTATTTTTCTTGTATAGTCATTAGCGACGGGGTCACCACCGTCGTGAAAGGTATTTATTGGTGACGGTTTAACATGTCATTGCAAAAGACCATTTTTTGTGACGACACCTATACCGTCGCAAAAAGTTCCGTGTTATTTGGGCCATTTTCTTGCAGTGGAAGAGGAAGAAGAGAGGAGGAAGTAAAAAGAAAAAAAAAGTTTCAAAACGACGTAGTTTTGGCACCTCGAACCTTTCGAGCCACAATTATTCGAGCTACCTAGCGGGCTTGTTAAGTTTAATATCTATCACATCACTTATCACATAATAGAATGTTACAATGTTATCAATTTTTACCTTCTAAGTTTGTTGTTTTGCTCTTAATTTATCGTATGGATTAAACTAATCGATCAACTTGAAAACTTGTTTAGTTTTAATTTTTAAAAATTATTTTAAACAAAATTTTGTTTATCTTTATTAAGCTCTTTTTTGTTTCAGTCATTTTTTTTAATTTTTTTTTTAGTTATATCGATATTAGATACATTTATAAAAAAAAGATTTTAACTAATATATAAAAAAAAAAATTGACTAAAAACAAAGAAAAATTTGAAAAAACATACATACAGATTTTTATTCGAATTTTAGTAATTTTTTAGTGTTTTTTTTTATAAATATTTTAGTAAATCTATTTTACTTTTTAGATGTTTGTTGATTAGATACATCTAAAAAGTTCCACTCTTTTCGGGGCCAGGCACCTGGCAACAGCATATATAGTTAGTAGGACGAACTTTCCAGACCTAGGCATACCGTACCTAGTGTCAAAAGTGTAAGTTTGAATTCTCGCCTGTGTGTGAGTTCACAACTTATCATTTCATGATTGAGTGGTCTTACTATGCAGTACCACCTAAGGGTGACCTTTACGACCTTGGCTCGGTCTAGCCCCAGAGGTCACCTCTATGTGGTTAGACCTTTTGTATTTACAAAGCACAAAAAATTGATTAAAGTATAAAAAAAATTCATCAAAAATAAACGGAAAAATCATTTAAATATATTGAAAACATCTCATCATTGATGAATCACATACATAAAATACCAAACCTATTGAACCAGCTCAAACAAAAATAGACCAAGTACTAATACTATACTATTTAAAGCTTTTACATGACCATTGTGAATTTTGGCCAGACTACTACATTATTTAGTAATGCTCATATGCATAAAACACTTCATCATGGAAGGCTAATGGCATGTTGCATCTCTGTTCCTGGAGTCTGAGTCTTCTTATTGTTGTTGCTATCTTTGAACTCACCATAAAAGTAAGAAACAAATCCCCAAAGGGAGAGAACAAGAGATATCCCTTTCTCTGCCTGAAACTTTTCCCTGTAGAAAAGAACTGCTAGTGTTTCAGTCACCGGGAGTAGAACGGCGATGATTATGGCGGAGAGCAGAGATGAAGATGAGAAGATGACTCCAATTGCACCCAGAAAGAAGCACTGCCATATTATGGCACTGCACACCAGCACCACATAATATTTTGTTTCTCCTAGTCCAAATTCTATTGCCTCCTTTGGAATTGCCTACAAAAAATATGAAGGTGTAACTGGATCATAATAACAATAATTATGATTATTATTATGGATTTGTATTAATAATTATGATGAATTTGCTATATAGTAAACAAAATATGATAATAAAAATATGAGCATGCTAGCATTATTGTAGTTTAGGATATGATTTTACTGGTCCACATGACTGGACCAAACAACTGGTTGATTTATTTGGGCCCATTCTATTTTTAAGATTCAGTTAATTCATTTTCTAAAATTATATGGGTGGATTATCTATAAATAAAATTCAATTGATTTGATAACTTTCTCATCAAACAAGTGGACGATAAGCATGTATTTAAAAATATACTACAAAATGGTTTAGATAAAATTACGTAATTATGATTATTGAATTATATTAATATTTTATTGAAACATCTATACATAGACTAGAATATGAATTACATTGATTAATAAATTGGATTTTAGGGTAGGCCATTATGCCCAATAATATTGTTCAGTCCATAGGAGACTGGAGATAAAGTTATGTTTTAAATTTATCATAGGATTGGGTAATGTAATTTTCTTTATTCTTTTTTTAACTTTTTTGTTTTGTTTTTTTGTATTAAGAAACCACAACTTTTAATCTTGATTAGGTTGAGGGCTATTTTGGGAAGACAAAAAAAAAAAAAAAAAGAAGTTGGTTTTTGGCTTATTTTCAAAAAGTCAATAACCAATTTATTTGAGCAAAAAATCTTTTGATAAATTAAAAATAAGTCAACTTTTGAAATTACAAAAATACTCCTCTGTATATGAAAGAGTAATATGTTCAATCTACCCTTTTCCTACAGATGTAACAGCATATACAAAAAATTAAAAAAAAACTCAAAACAACAGCATTTTTTCATCTTCCCAAACAATTTTAGGCATAAGCCAAAAAAATAAATAAATAAATTACTTATTTTCATCTCCCCAAAATAGCTATGAGTATCTTAGGCCTAGTTTGGAAACACATTATTTTAATAATTTTTTGATTTTTTAGTTAAAATATGAGATAAAAAAATAGTATGTTTAAGATGGCTTTTTGATTTTTTATTAAAAAAAATGTACAAAAAAATAAAAAGATAAAAAAAATCTTAACTTTTATTTTTTATTTTTTATATAATTTATTAAATTTTTAACTTTTAAATCGAAATGTAATATTACCGCGCGAGGCCTTAATTTGCAGTGTTGTGGATATGCGACGCTGTGTTCAGTGGTAGATCTCTTTATATTGTCTTTGAAACCCCACTTATTAGTTGACTTTCTCTTTCTGTCTATGGAAAGCAAGTCTCTTTTCTCAGTAATTCAAAATATACTCAAAAAAAAATTATAACCATTGAAATAGAATCCAAAATGTTTCAGGTTGGGTCCTATCGCTCTTAAAAAGCCACTTTTACAAAAGTGGTTTCACAAACTTAGATCGTTCAACTTCTTTAACCACATCATATATAAATGATTAAAATAATTGAAAAATTATTAATTTTTTTTTTATACTTTTATTTGACCAATTATTATTTTTAAACTCAAATATTAATTATGTACAAATTGGTTCAATAAAAAAAAAGGCCAGTATAGTCTCTTTATTTTTGTAAGAAAAAATATGTAAATAAGATTTTCAAAAATAAATTATATGGATTAAATTTAAATTTTAGGAAACAATTTATTTTCAACATACTTTTCAAATATATTTTTTTTGTAAGTGAGTAAATTCTGAACCATTAGTGGTGCATTCTCCTATTCATAGGAATATATTCTTGCCACAAAATGGGGTTGTGGATGACAGAGGAGGATGATAAATTGTTCAATGTTTCAAGACAAGTTTAGGTGTTGTCTTAAATTTGTGTTAAAATTTAAGGGGTTAATTAATTTATTTTGACAAATGCTAACAAGTGCCTTAGGCACTACTTAAGGTACAATAAAAAAATGGTAATACTACGTATACTAATTAGTGTACTAATAAGTGTATCAACTAGTGTTATGTTATTATTATTGACTCCACCTATTAATTAAATTATAAATACCCAAAACCTTTAAAATTATACCACATCATCTATTAATACACTAATAGTACATATAACATTATTCATAAACTATTAAAGGTATAATAAAGATAATAAATGTTATTGTTTAATGAGTTCATTAAAAAAGTTTTTGAGATAACATTAAGACAAATGCTAACAGGCGGTGTTACATGCGCTAATTAATATACTAACTAATATACCAATACTAGTTATGACTTTATTATTGAGCTCACTCATTATACAAATTACAAATACCAAAAATATTTTAAATTATGTCACATCATCAATTGGTACATTAGTTAGTGTACTATAATTAGTGCATATAGTATTAGTCAATGCTAACAAGTGCCTCCTATGCATTGTTTAATGATGGGAAGTGTCAAAAAACTGTCTTGAAAATATATAAAAATATTAAAAAGTGTATTGATTTCAATAAAAGTGTATTAAATTTAGTAAAAAGTGTATTGTGTTCTTCAATTTTTTTATCTTTTACTTATGCAGTGAAGACACTTATTAACGAGACTCCAACATTAAATAATAAAATATGTCATTTAAAACAAGTTAACAATATTACAAATGACAAAATATAACCTAACTTGACTTTTCATTTAATATAATTGAAAAAAACTCTATATTTGATTATTTTTTTCCACAACATAACTTTTCATTTAACCTTAAAGGAGTTTTATATGCTTATTAATTTTGGACTAAGAATAATAAGTTTTCATGTTTTTTAAATATAAATTTTGATTAGCAATGTTAACTTATTTTTCATATCAAAATTAATTTTTATCTGGAATATTTATTTTTTTGGTCTTTTGTTAAAAAAAATACGAAGAAATTTTAATCATTGAATTTGTTGAAGTCAAATAAAAATAGATTTATATAGTCAAAAAAATCTAAAAATTGAAAGGTCAAGGTCAGCTCATATTTTTAATAGAAATAATTAATTTTCTTTAGAAAATGTGAAGGCTAAAATGGTCATTAAAAAATACATTGTAAGCATTTATGATTAATATTAAATTGTACGAATAAATAATAAAAGGTCTTGTTAACATGTGTCCTAAGAACGATAAATTTTTGTATGCAGATAGGATATATGCCATGTAGTACATTCTATTATTGTGATTGGCTTTGATAGTAGAATCTACTACATTTATGTTAAGTGTTTGAAAAACAATAGTAAGCATATACATTTATGATTAGTGAAAAGTAGTACTATACAGTACCTTATTGGCATACCAAAATTTCACCCTAAGGACACATAATAAGAAAGTTTAAAAATATTATACATCTTTTATTACATTCACTTTTATACCTAACGTATAACCAATAAGAGAAATTATTCAATAATCTTAGAATATAACGTGGCTATACTTCAAGCTAATCATCAATTATTTAACCTTATATTATACTTTTAGCTCTAACATAAGTTATGGACTTCGACATCACTTTACTAATCAAAACTTTAGAGAGGATCCAATCAAAGAAAGCATCCTAACATTGGCCTTAACAAAACCCAATAATAATCATGAAAAACCCATAATAAATTGAGGGTTCTTCCAATACATCTAATTGCATTTATTATCAACTATTGTAATACACATCTAACTGCATTTATTACCCTTAACTATTAGGGCTGGGGCACTTATTTGCATGACTTTTTTTTTTACTTTGGATTTGGATTTTCTTAAATTGTTTGAGAGAATGGTAGCGGTATGGTTGAACCATATTTGTTTTAAAAAATAGATGATAAATATAATTTTAAGAATGATTATTTATTTTTCATAATACAAATTTGATTCAAATATATTGTCACCGATTTCCGATGATATTGATTTTTTGCATACTCAATAAGTCTTAAAATATGAACGATTTAGATCATCAAAATAGAACAAGTGGTGGGTTTTACAAGGCCCTCAATTTTTCTCATGTTGAGATGTGAATCTAAGAAAAACCTACACTTAAATGACCGTCATTTATTTTATTTTGAATTTTTAAAAACTTGTAAGAAGATGAGAGTTTAGTTGTATAATTTAAATTATTCAAATTACAAAATTACAATTTTTTTTATTAAATTAAATCTTTACCACTATTGATTTTGAATGGACTCTCTTCAATAAGATTATTTGAACTAACATAAAAAAATTTACAAAAAACTAAATGAGAACAAAAGATAAGATAATAAATAGATATTTGGGGTTTGCTTTTTTGTGATTTTTTTTGTTGACTTAATTTCGTCTTCAACGAATATTTTTTAAAACTTTTCAAAAAAATTTAGTTGTTTTTTGTTTTTTTTTTTCCTTCTCTACTCAACGAAGCAACCTGAATTTTTTTTTAAAAGTTAAAAAAATAAGTAAAAATAGTAAGTTTTCTTAGACTTAGGCCTTATTTGTTAGCTATATATTTTAGCCAAAAAATCAAAAGGTTATTATAATTTGTCACATCACTCTCTCTACTTTTCTATATATATTTTCAGAAAAAATTAAAAAATTATTAAAATACCTTGTTCTCAAATGAGGCATTTCTTTGGCTAAGCCATGGTTTGGCTAATATTTTAGAGTTGAATAATCACAAAAAGACAAAATAGGTTATACAAGTTAATAAGATAAAATATTACTTTTTATCCATAATCATTACACTTTTTCTTCCATAAAAGTAAAAAAAGTACCAAAACAAAAACTAAACGAGGTTAATAAAGTCAGATTAAAAAAGTCTCAATATAAAAAAATTAGTTAAAAAAGTCAATGCCAAACGAATCCTAAAGTTACTTTTCAAATTGTGGATAATGAAATTTGAAAAAAAATCATTTACCCATGCAAAGGAACCTAAGGAATAGAATGGAATGATATGAAAATGAAATTTAAGTGTGTTTTGAAAAGATGATTAAAATAATTTTGTAATTTGTTTTTTTAATAATACATATAAAAAATGTAAAAAATAATATAATTTAAAATAAGCTAAAAATTTGAAAGTAACTTTTATCCAACTTGTCAGAAGCGAGGCCCTCCATAGCATTAGCATGGGAGAAGAGAGTGAAAGAGAGGTACCTTGAAGTCATTGTTGATGATCATCCCAATAGTGCAAACCACAGTAGCAAAAAAACACATAACCAGCTGAATCTCAATGACCAGACTATACGTAACGGCCTGCTTGGCCTTCTTGTACGTCAACTCCACCAACGGCAATACAAAGCCGTACAATGCAGCCGCCCCAACGGTCATAAAAAACCCTAGAAAATACTCCCCCTCGGACTCCCCCTTGGGCCGATCACTGCTGGTATGCAGCGCCAAAAGCCCGGCACCAATAGTCAGCAAAAACACGGCATTAATCGAATACGAAGCAAACTTTTGCCGGACGAGAAGGTAGGCGAAGAGCGCGGTAAAGCCGAGCTGGGAGGCGATGACGAGGGAGGAGGTGGAGACGGGGAGGCGGGCGAGGCCGTAGGCGTAGAGGTAGTCGTCGGCGCCGGTGAGGAGGCCGATGAAGGCGGCGGAGAGGAAGATGGGGGGTTTGATGAGGAAGAGAGGGGTGGTGGGGCCGGAGTTGGAGCGGCGGTGGAGATAGGTGAGGAGGAGGGGGAGGAAGTTGATGGGCCAGCCGCCGGTTTCGAGGAAGCTGGAGAGCCAGACTCGGGAGCCGCCGTGGAGGAAGTAGAGCCGCATGATGAGTGGGCCGCCGCAGTTACCGATGGTTAGGAGGACGGCGTTGATGAGGAACACTGCTCTCCTTGTTTTTTTGTTCATGCTTTGGGCTGCTGTTTCCATGTTGTTTATGCTTCTCTACAATTGAGATATTGAGATGGAGAGGAGAGAGAGAGAGAAAGAGAGAGAGAGAACTGGAATTCAGGAGGAGGATGATGGACGGGACGAGACGAGACTGTTTGGTTGTGTTGATTCTGTATTTATCATCACACACACACGTATATATGCACTATCGAATTTGGTAATTACTCGTAAAACTAGTGGTGGTGCAATAGGGAGTTTGATTCGTCAATCTAATTGCTATGACATAGTATTGGGTTGGATCAGTTTCGACCATTAGATTTTGGCCAAGTTTGGTTACTACAAAATAATCTATCTTTTTATCTTTTTATATTTTTTTTATCACATCACCTTTCTACTTTTGTACGCATCTTTTCGTAAAAAGATAAAAAGTACACTTATTTAAGTCATCCCAAACAACTTTTTTATTTTATTTTATTTTTTTCTCCCAAAATAACTCCAATAAGCATTAAGAACTTTGGGGAATGGAAATTCTAATCTAGTCGATCTATGATTCTTGTTCTGATAAGCGGAAAATATACAGTTTTATATACAATTTGTCATGAAATTTACGTTTTTTGATCGAATAATGAAATTTACTTAGAAAGTGATTTTATGGTAGGGACTGAACTATATGTGTTGTGGGTTAACTTATATCATCTAATTTATACAATTCAAATTCTATGTAAACTGTTAGGTATTTTTTCTGAGTTTATAACATTACTATTTGAGTAGGTGATATGTTGAGTTTGTCGGAAAAAGAACATAATGTTGTTTTATTCTCCTTGTATTTATTGAGATTTTTTTTCTCCAATTATGAGTCTTTTTATTTTATTTGTCATTGTTATTGTAATTTATATAGGATTTCATTATAATATTATATATGAATCAAAACAAAAAGTATAATTTACAATAATAGAATTGAGGGCTAGTGTTTGATAAAAATGCTGATTATTTGATAATTCAAGCGTTTTTCAAAGGAAAATTTACAAATCAAGGGTGTCTTCATAAAATATTTATAACTTCATTATGTATTTATAATTTTAATTATTAAAATTAATAAAAAACATGTTGCGATTTCTCTTTTTTAAAAACCTCTCTCCCTTCTATTGGCCACGTCAACTTCCAAATAGCATAGGGGGTATAATACTAATCACCTGTTTGTTTCCAATTCTCAAAATTTACTTTTGAGAAAATTATATTTTTTCGTTTTTCATTATTTTTTTGTTTTTACTTAATTTTTTTTAATATTTTAAGCAATTTTTTAAATTTTTAGACACACCTAATATAAATATACTTAGAAAGTATAATATTGATGAAAAAAATCTTTAAAAAATTCACTAAATATCAAAAATATAAAAAAATACAAAAATTAAGTATATTTTTAATATTTTTATGTATTTATTAATTTTTTAAAATATTTTTTCATAAATAATTCACTATTTAGATACATCTAAGTAAGATACATCTAAAAAAAATTAAAAAATTACTTAAAATTTTAAAAATATAAGTCAAGGGCGCATTTTTAGCGAGCCAAAAGAAAAATTGAATAGGGAAAAAGTTAGCTTGTCTTAGTGACTCCTCCTTCGCTAGTTGCAGTTTCAAAAGAAGTAAAGGGGCTACTACCTTCCTTTTAACTTTTTAAAATATTTTTTCATAAATAATTTACTATTTAGATACATCTAATTAAGATATATCTAAAAAAGTAAAAAAAATTATTTAAAATTTTAAAAAGTTCACTAAAAAAAAAAAACATGAAAACAAAAAAAACTCAATTTTTAGAAAATTGAATTTAGAAAACTGAAACCAAATACACTAAATTCCTTTTGGTACTGGTAACCATTTTAAATTGGTCAATGCAAGTGGCCAATTGTAGTGTAGGCATAATTTTGAAATGTGCCTTAATATTACTGAAAGGAAAAATTGGTGAAAAGTCCATCTCAAAAAAAGTATAAGACATTATATCTAAGATAAAATCTTATTTGGTAATAAGGACAAGTCGGAAAAGGTCGTCAAAAAATTTGCTGGCGTTGGAAAAGTTGCCGTCGACAGTAGTGATCCACGACCGCTAGCAGTAGCAGGTGGTGGCGGTAAGGTAAAAAAATATGTAATATTCAACAGATAAATTATTGAATGAATGACATGTGTCACATTCAACAGATAATTGGTTTGGTGAATTTCAACAAATAGACAAATAAGTTATTTTCAACAAATAGACAGTAGGTTGATTTTAAGAGATGATTGTTCTTTTAGACAAATTGTATCCTTTTGACCCAAAGATATTAGAGCTTGAGCCTAATGGTCCAAAAAATTCAAATATAGACTTATGGCCTGAATGTCCAATATAAAAGCTATATCACATATAAAATCTAATATGGTGATCAATACAAAGTTTATAATTGATTTTTTTTTTTTTTGTAAAATTCACTTTATTCTGTTATAGTTTTGCCTCAGTGCACTTTATTCTTTTATAGTTGAAACATAGGCAGAAAATCTTTTTATGATTTTGAACCAAAGTATAAAATTAACTTTGTTAAAAGAATTTGTAAAATTACCTAAATACTCCTATGTCATGTTATCCTTTTCCCTTCTTTAATACATATAATTTGTTATCCCTATGTCATGTTATCTTTCTCCATTCTTTAATGCATACTGGTTGTGGTGTACGTACATTGCACATGATTTTTCATCTTGATGAATTTTATAATTTTATATTGACTTTTGGGGGCAAAATTTCTATATATAGCAATTTTTGTTGACATCAAACAACAAAATCCAAATAATACAATCTTGTCATACAAAAAATCAAAACAAAGAGATAGAGTATGAAGATAGCCTATGAAATTGGGAGAGCCACCATAAATCAATACCCTAAAATCATATGTGCTTCATTCAATACAGGTTTGAAAGAACTCATACAACTATAAGATTTAACTCATAATATTCATAGCAGTCTAATGCACAATGAATAGTTGTAGCAGACCGGATGTCAAGTTTGTATTAGATGCCCAAAATTTAAAGAAAGCTGTAATATAATATGTATACATCATTATAGAAAGAGAGAAAATTAAGAATAAAAAAACCCATCATTTTTGTGTCTTCAAATTGTAGAGAGAGTTTGTTTTTATAGGATAAGACTCTTATTCTTTTATAACTGATGCATTGAAACTATTTAAATTTAAATTTAAATAGACACATATTCAATTTCAAATAGTGTCCATTAACCAAATAACATTTGATTTGAAACTTCAACAACAAATTTAAAGTTTTTGTTTTTATTTATTTTTATAAATTGTAAATGGTTATATTTGTAATTTAGATTTTTATATAGAAATTTTAGAAAACCACATTTAAGCAAATATGAATAAAAGTTTAGCATCACATTATATTTTATTTTATATTTATATATTTTGAATTTTTAAGAAAGAATAATTATTTGTAGTTATTTTGGTAGTGGTGGAAATGTGGTGACAGTGCCAAAGGCAAACGTGGTGGTGGCACTACAAGAAAAAGCACATTTGGTGACTAAAAAAGCACCTTTGGTAGCTGAAAGTATAGGTTTTGGCGACTAACAATCTGTTTGGTCGCCGATATAAGGCTTTTATCGACTAAAAATAATTTAGTAGCCAAAAGTAAGGCATTGGGCAACTAAAAAGATGTTTAGTAGCCAAATGTGATGCTTTTACCGACTAAAAAAATTTTAGTAGCCAAAAGTGAGGCTTTTGGCTACTAAAAAGAATTTAGTAGCCAAAAGTGAGGCATTGGGCGACTAAAAAGATGTTTAGTAGCCAAATGTGATGTTTTTTCCGACAAATAAAATTTTAATAGCCAAAAGTGAGGCTTTTTGGCGACTAAAAATAATTTAGTAGCCAAATGTGAGGCTTTTTGGCAATTAAAAAGAAGTTTAGTCGCCAAAAGTGATAATTTTAGATCAGGAATTAATTTTTTTAGTGACTAAAAAATTATTAGCCAAAAGTATAGAATTGGCGACTAAAAAGAAGTTTAGTCGCCAAAAGTGGTCTCTTTTTTTTCTAGTAAATAATTTATTTTTACATAAATTATGTTCAATAAAAAATAATTATATTTATATATATACTTTTATATTAATACGGGTCTATGTATTATATAAATAATATATGTTGCATATATAATTATATGGTGTTATGAAGGCGTAGTGGAAAGAGGGTGTTGTATATGGTGTGGGAGGTTGATGTTTTGAATCTCCACAAGAGCAGAGTGTAATTTTTTTTTTCACGAAATCACTTTTGGCGACTAAAAGTTTGGTCGTTTTTTTTCACGAATGACCTTTTGGTGACTAAAAGGTTTGGTCGCTGATTCCTTGAGTATTGGTAGGTAAATGCATAATTTTAAAAAATAAAATTGACTATTGGCGATCAATAATTTAGTAGTCAAAACATTTATTTTTGCCGACCAAATAAAATTTAGTAGCTAAAAAGCAACATTGCTGACTAAAAAAATAGTAGTCAAATGTTGTACTTTCAGCGATCAAACACGTGCTTAGTCGCTAAAACATTTGCCGACAGGGTTTAGGTGACTAACTTGGCGACAAAAAAATTTAGTCGCTAAATGGTATCAGTGACTAAAAATCCGACCTTTGGCGACCAATATTTTGGTAGTAAAATAATGACGATATCTTTGGTGTCAGTGGCATTGGTGGTGGAGATAATGGTAGGTGTAGTGGTAGTGATTGTGGCAATGGTGGTTATGTCATAATGGTACACTTTGGTATTTATATATAACTAACTATAAATTTAGTAAACATTAAACAAGAATGTTGCTTGTTTAAATTTTTTGAACTAACATTTTTTGATTCAATTAAGATTTTACTCCCTCCGTTCCATTTTATTTGTCCTCTTTTCCATTTTAGTCCACCCCAAAATGTTTGTCTACTTTTTATTTAGGGATATTAAATTTTGTTAGATTTTCAAAATTGACCCCTATAAATCATTATGAACACATTTTAAAATTCAAAAAGAAGGGCAATGGTAGAAAAAATATTTCAAAATTTGAATTAAAATGTAGTGATTGCATATCTCCTTAATAAGTTAAATTTTTTATAGTGGACAAATAAATTGGGACGGAGGGAGTAAATGATAAAAATTATAATTATTAAACAGACTTAATTGATTTTAATGGGATAGAAAACTAAACAAATT